ATGAGCAAGGTTGCCAAAGGGATGCAGCTATTTCCACAATGCACTTGACCATGGGACAAAGTACTCATTTTAGAACAATGTGCAGAGCAATTTGGAGCAACTAGACATTCTGGACGTTATGAAAACTGCCGAAGGACAGGAACTCTGTCTGCTTTGCTCTTTCTTGGTGGCTACAATAAGACCTGCTTCTGAGCAGATGCTCGACAAACATTTACTGAATGACAGGATGGCAGAAGCAGGTAGTCACAGGCATGCAAAACATTTTCATGAGGCCAAGTCATCCTCTGCTCAGTCTTGGAACACGGCAACAGTTACACTGCCTGGACACACTCCTCAGGCATTTCAGGGGTAATTTTTTTTTATTAAACAGGGGCAAACCAAAACCAAACAAAATAAAACCAAAACAAAACAATAGGAAAGGATTCTTTCTTTAAACTTTATAGCAAAAATCAGGTTTTCTGAAATTGTCTCTGTCCTAGACAACCTCCTAAAGCCTTGACTGAGAAGCCTTTCACCCTGTGAAGGAAAATCTGCAGAACCATCCGTGCTATCAGTGGTAGGGGGTGACAAGGGCACAGATTTTTGGCCAGACATTTTTGAGCTCAAATTCTGACTTTGAAATGACTTATTAGCTGTACAACCCTGGGAAAGCCCCTTGGCCTGTTTAAACGTCAGCTTCCTCACTGGGAAAATGGCATCTTTAATCCATTCAGTTATTGCAAGACTTAAGACGGATTAACAGTGGCAAGTATAGTGCCTGGCACTTAGCAGACTCGACACGTGTTGAGTTCCCAGCCTGGCTTCTCTCCCTTCCTTCCCCTGCTGTTTCCTCCCTTGACACCCATTTATTCTAAAACCATAGAGGTAGGTGAGATCATGTCATTCTTTTTCCAATGTTCTTATTCCTCCTGTTCAAAGACTTGAAAAACATGAGTTGGAGGAGCACTAAGTTTTCTACTCCTTTTTTTTTCTGAGCGTCAGACCTAAGATTTAAATCCTATTATATAAGAGAAAAACTGAGAAGCTGGGGGCTAGAACATACAAATTATTGTAATTAGACAAGCAATAAATTTTTTTTTAAAGGCTGTGGTTTTCTATTTTTCCATCGAGGTTAAAAGCGGTTTAAGAGATACAAGTGAAGAAGAGGTGGATCTTGCTTCTGAAGTTACTGCTGTCTTAGGAGCTTTCACAGGGACATCTGTTGGCTTTTTAACAAAGGAAACTGGTGAGAATCAAGGGTGAGTGGAGGAGACTCGGGTTCACAAGGGAGTCACATCTGTTTGGTATTCTCCCAACTGAGAAAGCCTGACTTCTAAAATAGCACCGGTCTCCTAGCTAAACGAGAATCTAGAAACAGATGAAAGCTTTTCTCTCCTCTGTGTTTCAATGGTAGAGATCAACAGCTGTTTATATCCTTTAATACCTAACCAAAGGGGAAGCCTTCACATCTGTCAGTATTTTCCGGTTCTATTTCCTTGGATCACAGTGGGGAGGAGGTGAAGTCTGAACCCCTCCCAATTCCCAGGCAAGAAGACAGAAATCTGCCCAGGATTCAAAGCCGTCATGCTAAGCAGAACGCTCCAATTTCTCATCTACCCAGGGTCTGTTCTTGGTAGAGAATTCCTCTTTCACTTTATCCTGACAGACATCTTGATCATTTCCATGATAATGACTCATGGCAGCACCAAGATCAAAAAGAAGGAATGTAGGCTGGAATCAGGGGGAGGAAGAAGAGGAGGAAATGAATTCTCACAGAGACAGTGGCTCCTAAAAGACAAGTTCTTGCAAAGACAGCAAAATGTTGTCTGAGGGCACATAGCAGAGGAGAGCAGGGCATTTACAAATGAAGACCCTCAGGGTGATGGTGGATGGCCGTGGTTTTTACTGACACCTAACATTTTAACCTTGGAAAAGTTAAAGAGAAAATTAAACCCTGCAGAAGCAAGGGGCAGGGAATCCCCAGCAATGGTGACAAAAGGATTCAGAGATGACACTTTAACTTCACTTTGATCACCAGCAACATACACATGCTGGAACTTTATAAAGATTAGTTTTCCATCCATCCTTCCATCCATCCATCCATCCATCCATCCAACAACTTACAAGGCACCAGGACTAGACTTAGTGCTGGGATATTCAAATGAAGAAGATATGGTCCATAACTTTAAGGGGCTTACATTCTAACAGGTGACAGTCTTCACAGAGGAGATGGTGAAAAGAATGCATGAGAATTCACCAAATGAAGAAGGCAGGTGATTCCAAGGAGAGAATGACATGGATTAAACCAGAGAGGTAAGAAATAAACAGTTCCTCGGGGAATGAAAAGCATTCCTCGTGGTTATAATAAACAGAGGAGTGGTAGGTGCTTATTAAAAGTATAGATTCTTCTTTTCAAAATGACACAAATAAACTTACTTACAAAATAGAAACAGACTCACAGACATAGAAAACAAAATTACCGTTACTAGGGGAGAAAGGGGAGGGTAGAGGGATAAACTGGGAGTTTGGGACTTGCAGATACTAACTACTATGTATAAAATAGATAAACAACAAGGTCTTACTATGTAGCACAGGGAACTATATTCAATATGTTGCAATAGCCTATAATGAAAGAGAATATGAAAAGTAATATATATAGATAGATGTATACCTGAATCACTATGCTGTATACCAGAAATCAACACATTGTAAACCAGCTCTACTTCAAAAAAAAAAAAGGTACAGATTCTCAGGTCTCACCTAAGAGATTCACATTTAGCTATTAAGGGGGAAGACCAAGGAGTCTGCATTTTGAAAAGAAAGCCAAAGTAATTCTGATACAAGCAAAATTTTGACAGCTCTAATTTATATAGATTAACATTTCATGAAAGATGCTAACAGTGTTCCATTAAAATAAAAAAAGTACCAGGCTCAAATTAGGATACACCACATACTAAAGTATTCCTTTCTTGGAGATTTCTAATGCACATTAGCACATTTAAAGTCCTGCAGTAAAATTAATTTCACTCAGCATTCCCCAAAATTATTTTTCCATGGAGGAGAAAGAAAATCACAGTGTACCTATTAAAAGCCCTCAAAACACTGGTGTACTGTGGAGCACAGATTAGGAAGAGCTGAACAGAGGATTCTGATCAGGTGAGCATTCCCCCAAGCATGCTGAATGGCTAAGGAAATTCACCCAGAAAAAGAAAGCAAAGTCAATTACTCTGGGGGATATGGCGGCATCACCGACTTCCTCCAAGCAAAGTCTAAAACCTCCTATGATGTTCTATTTTCCAAGCAGAACGCCAGACAGGGTGTCACACTCAAGTAACACACCAGGCTCTGTGATGTTATTTCTGATCAGCAACTCTATGTGGTAACCAGAGAGTTGCTGCCAGAGACAGCAGAAGTGCCCAGAGTTCAAAGCATCGAGGAGCAGAAACAGAAGGGGAGGGACAAGAAGGAGGGATCCTTGCCCACATTTATTTATCTTTATTGCTATCATATGTTCTGCACAGAGCATTGGCAGTTGCTTCTGATGTTTTCAGAAAAGAAAAATCCCTCCCAGCTCCAAAAGACGCCTCCGACTGTCAATGAAAAGGCAAAAAGACATGAACCTAGGAAATCCCCATTCCTCTGAGGTGCCAATTTTACAGCCGGGGGAGTCTGGGAAACCTGCCTTCTTCCCCCTATGCTGGTGAGCCCACCAAGGGGGGCTGCAGTCCCACACACTCGACCTCCTTCCCTAACAAGGGACAGCAGAGAGAAAGTGCATACAGGAACAGGACAAGTCAAGGCAACCCGAGAATTCTGAGCAAACTGGTTTGTGTGCTGACTATTCCAAGATGTACATACTGCCCTAATCAATGGATATACTTTGTTTCATGGTATACACTTAATTACTTCCATACACTGCACCTCAACTTTCCATATACCATGTGGGGACACACCACCCCTATCTAGAGGTGATTTCAACAATGTGTTTCAAATGCTTTTTTATTTTAACTTTTTGCATGTTTTTATTTATTTATTTATTTATTTAAAGTAGAATTGATTTACAATGTTGTGTTAATTTCTGGTGTATAACATATGAAAACAAATGCTTTTTTAAAATAAATACCCTAATCACCTCTAAGCTTTTAAATAGTATTTTCCAACGGCAGAAGTATTTTTCCAATCATTTTACAAATATTTCCTGAGTGCCTCAAAGGTTCCAGGGCACCGTGCTCAGAACTGGTGGTACAACAGGAGAAGCAGGAGAGTGTTCCACTTTATTGAACCTACAGCCCCCAAACCTGAATTCTAAATTCAACCTATCAGGTGTGGAAAATCCAGTGATCAGCAGCATTAAAAAAATAGAAAGAGATAAGAAAGATTTACCCCTTCCCCTGGAAGAGTTTCATGGCTATGAGCACAAAGCAAACAAAAGCATTTGTGTTTCAAGGGTCCTGGTTGGTCTAGAAGTTATACAAGGGGCCAGAGTTGACAGTACAGAATGGAATTATTACCTACGATCAGGAGACAGAAGAAAAGAACACCAGGGTCCTTTATTTCCCCAAAATGCCAACCCTCTGTTCACACAATTCCCGAACAAATCCAGGGATTCCCACACTGGGATTTCTTATCCTGAGAGATATGTACCAATAACTGCATAAGAGTTAATGTAACAAACTAGTCAATTAGCACCAAACTAAAAATTTTACCAGGATAACTGGGTAGGTTTGAAGTCTAGTCCTTAAGAAGCCAATAAGATCAAATTTAACATTTCGTCAAGCCAGTGTTCCCCACTACTGAGATCCACGAAATAAATGTAAGTGGCTCAAAGATGATTTTTTTTTTCCAATAAGGTCCTCAGATATGGAAAAAGAAATTGCAGGTACATGAGTGATAGAAGTTAGGGAAACACTGATGTGGGTGCTGACTGTCATTCAAAGGCAGTCCTACGAGAAGGCTCTGTAAACGTTCCAAGGTTGGGTGGGGATGTGACAAAATAACCAGGAAGCAGGTCACGGACTTACCTACACATGTTGGAAATATATCCTCGTTGTTGATCTGGACCTCGATCCAATCCATGAGAAGGTTCATGTACTGGGGAGCTGGCAAGGCAGTCGGCTTCTTGTACTTGAGGTCATCCTGCCACCGATACTCATATTTGGGGCCCCCTGACATCACAGGGCAGGTCCGCTCGGTGCAGAACTCACAGATGGTCCCGTAGATGAGGTTGATCCGATTGAAGAAGTCCACCACGTGCACCGCCACCCAGTCGTTCTGGTCCTCCCCGCTGGGCAGCTGCACAGCTGCCTTCAGGTCCACACCCGAGTTGAGGGATGCTTGAGCTCGTTTGTGGAGTTCGAACCTCTGTGTGCCAGGTTCAAATTTCCTCTTAGGCCGGAATGTCTTGTCTTTGTTGAACACCTGCTTCAAGGCAATGGACATGGTCTTCTCCCTCTCTTCCTTCCCTTTGCAGGAAGCAAAAAGGCAACTGGGACCCTTCAGGGAGAGATCACAACCCAACAGGGTTTTCCACTGCCAGCCCTCTGGACCCAGTCTTGCGGTCTGCAGCTTTCAAAATCTTTTAGATGGCCCCTTCCACCTTCCTCTTTAATGATTTCCACAGGAATCTCATGTTTCTTTCTATAGACAGGAGAGAAAAGGGTCTCATTAGTGTGTCCCATTTGCATTTAAGTAATGACAGGGCTTAGTCCTGATTTCCATCTTGCTTCTGGCTGTGTCCACTTTCATCCAGATATAAGGACGTGAAAGCTAAGCCAAAGCCCTTAGAATTTTTATGGGTGGTCAAATCATAAAACCAAACAACCAAAGGAGAAAAGGTATCACATCCTTTTTCTTTCTGGCGTTGGTGAAATCTCTGGCAACTCTTCCCTGTGTAATCAGAGTCTCTCCAAGGTGTTAAGGTTGAGCGTGTTAGTCAGTGACACATCCCCAGGTGCTCCTTTTTGGAGCATCTGCCCCACCCACCCCCACAGTCCCTATTGAGTAAGCATGAGGCCACTACCCCTATCCTCCTGGACCATGTGGAGTACAGCTGAGAAAGCTAGTCTGCAGAGAAGGGAGGCAGGAGAGGTGGAGAAGTACAGAAGGAAGAGGAGGAAGAAGTGAAGGAGGAGGAGAGGGAAGAAGCCATGGACAGACACAGAAATAGAGACAAAAGCACAAGTGGCCACAGGGAGAGGAAGACAAGAGAAAAAGAGAAAGACAGTGAGGAGAGAGTAGCTTCTTTTGTCCTTGATAGTCTTCTAGGAACTGGTTCCAATTGCTCTTGAAGCCTAGCTGTGTTTCCAGCCCTTGGGATGCACACGTTTTTCTTGACTTAGTCAAGTAAATATCGTGTTTTACTTCAGCTAAACTGAGTGTGTTGTTTCCTTCTAAGAACCCCTAACTATGACAGTAATTTGTCACCCTACACCATCCTTTACTATCACATCCTAGATAGCACTTCGAGGCAGAGCTGCCCAACGAAACTTTCTGTGATAATGCAAATGTTCTATATCTTTGTTGTCCAACATGGTGCCCATCAGCCACACATGGCTACTGAGCACTTAAAAGCTGGCAAGTGTGATTAAGGAACTGAATTTTTCATTTTATTTAATTTTAATTAATTTAATTAAATAATTAACTGATTTAACTAAATAAATAATAATTCAATGCAGCTAATGGCTACCATATTGGACAGTGCAGCTTTGAAGTCTTCAATACTTTCTTCTCCATCACCTCATTTGACCCTTCCAAAATTCAGGTAGGGTTGTTAGTAGACTGATAGTAGGTACAGCAGATTTGTAGTAGGTATCATTATCCCTGCGTCTCCAAGAGATGAAATTACTTGCTGAACCACTGGCTAGGAGGGGGCATGATTAGGACTGAAATCTAATTTCTTGGCCTCTAGCAAATGCTCTTTCCACGAAGCCCTGCATTCTAAAAAGTGATGCCCTTCAACCTGTCTTTCCTGCCGGTTCATGAGGCCCCGTTACCGATAGCTGCCAACTACATATTCTGCCAAGACCACAAGTATAGATTGGTCAGAGGTGGAGACTGTGTCCTGTGCCCTGGAAACAGACAGGAGATGGCTGAACCACTCATAGGTCAAGCCCTAGAAAATGAGCCAGCAGCTATGGCCAGATTTAGGAGAGCCCATCTGGCATCTGTTAAAATGGGCTTGAAGCACGATCCCACTGCTCTGCTCTTCCCCACCTTCCCTACCTAGGAGGGGTTCTGCTCTGCCACAATCAAACACGGCTTGGTGATTCAGTCAACCTTAAGTTATTCAGGCAAAAAACACAAACACAAACAAAACCATCTCAGACATCCCATCCCCTCTCACAGACCCTGCTCTTTGCTCAGAACTGCTGATTATTCAGCCCAAGACCTCTTCCGGCCACTCCCTGCAGCCTCAGTCTGCTCACTTCCTCCCTCTTAACCCCGCCCTCTTCCTCTTAGGTTTTCACTGCAAGGCCATATGTTGGTGAGGTGTTTTTTTTCTTCATCACTTGGCCATGAACGTGCACACCCCCTACACAGAGACCTATGTGGGAAAGCAGGTCACGTGACAACCTGCCTTTGGCTGTCTGTGGAATCACACTCCCAGGGACTTTGGAATATCACTAGGAAGGTTGTCACCATTCAAACTCTGCAAACTCTAGGGAAAGAAAGGGGCCATCTCGCCTTCAGAAGAATACCTTCCCAAAGGCTTAGCTTGCCTGAAAAGAGACTTAAAAAACCAAAAGGGCTTAAAAGGGCATTTCCAAAGCAAAAATATCAGTTAGAGGTTGGGAAGGTACAGAAAGAAGGATGAGGATTTTTGTTTTTCTTGTAAAACAGACAATAGTCTCTCTGTATGGCAAAGGCTTAATTGCTGACAGTAAAGCAGCCACAACCCAACAGCCGCCCCCTCGAGTCTCCAGTAAGTAAGACTCGCTGTTCTGTTATTCTGATAACGAGGGCACCATCAGTTCCCACGGTCCTCAGAGCAATCTTCTTTTGCCGCCTTACATGACCCTCAGTATCACTAGTTCTGCTGTTTCCCCATGGCCTGGAGTGCCTGGATGCATGGACACCAATGTAGAAACCTTCCCTGTACCAGTGCCAGGCTCTCATGGACACTTTCAACAAGTCCCTCTGGCACCCCGATGACAGCGTGTGAATGAGACAGAATAATTACAGCAAATCCTCCTCACAAAGCCCTTCAGTGGCTGCAACTCATCAATATTTGAATAAATATTAAAACCTTGTTTGATCTAATTTAAAAAGATACATGCACCCCAATGTTCATAGCAGCACTATTTACAATAGCCCAAACATGGAAACAACCTAAATGTCCATTGATAGATAACTAGATAAAGAAGGTGTGGTATATTTATACAATGGAATACTACTCAGCCATAAAAAATAATAAAATAGTTCCATTTGCAGCAACATGGATGGGCCTGGAGAGCATCATTCTAAGTGAAGTAAGCCAGAAAGAGAAAAATACCATACGATATCACTCATACATGGAATCTGAAAAAAGAAGAAAGAAGACACTAATGAACTTATCTATAAAACAGAAATAGACTCAATAGACATAGTAAACAATCTTAAGGTTACCAGGGGGAAAGAGGGTGGGAAGCAATAAATTGCGAGTTCAAAACTTGTGAATATTAACTACCATACACAAAACAGATAAACAACAAGTTTCTTCTGTACAGCACAGGGAACTATTCAATGTCTTATGAAAAAGAATATGAAAACAAATACATGTATGTATGTATGACTGAAACATTATGCTGTACACCAGAAATAACTGATGCATTGTAAACTGACTATACTTCAATAAAACAATGACAAACCCCGTCTGAAGTTTAGGAATTGTTCTTCCAGAGATACTTAGATAACAAATTTCAAGATACCAGTCTCTTGAACTGCATGAGCAATTAATTATTCAAAACTTTAACCATCTTTAAAGTCACTTACTTTTTGCCCCAGTATAACAGGCTTACTTCAGGGAAATATCATCTTTGGAGGATTATTTTTCAACCAAGTCCCCTAATGTGCTGTTCTTGGCTACCACATATTAAATTCTACTATGCCCCAGATTTTTACATATATTATTAACATTTTAATCCTCACCACAACCTTGCAGGATGGATGTTTTTATGGCCATTTTATATAAAAAAATTGAGGCTCAATCGTATGAAATGATTTTGCAGAAGTCACAAGATTGGTCAATGGCTAGGCTAAATTTTGAATCCAGACCTCCCTGGCACTGAAATATATATGATTTTTTTCCTCACTAAAGTTGTTCTAAAATCTTTGAACATCTTTATGTTTTCAAAGCCCCTTCACATATAGATGTCAAAGCTCCTCATGACCAGACTATAAAGGAACGGGAACAGGTGGTATTATCTCCATTTCACAGATGGAGAAAGAGAAACTCTGATCTGTTAGCGCTGTTCCAAACGCATTCACCATTCTGACATGATCAGACGTGAGGATGTCTCTTGTGGTCAAACTTTTTTGTCTAGAATAAAGTTTGGGGAGCAAGGATAGGTTGGCCCCCTGGTTTAAAGAATGGCACTCCGGATGAAGAATAACAAATTTGTCATGCCACTGAATGACTGAACACAGGGGCATCTGACCGTGTCTTCATCTGAGTGTTAGATGCTATACTGCATCAGGTACACAGAAGTGTATTGAAATGAAAGGACAACAAGAAATCCATCTAACCTTATTTCAACCCAGAGCCCCATCAAGACCCTTGCCCATAATTTGCACTGTAGGCTTATTAAATAGTTAGAGCAGTACTTCTCAAAAGTTAACATGAGATCTTGTTAAAAGGTAGGTTCTGGTCCAGGAGGTCTGGGTGGTGCCTGAGGGTCCACATTTCTAAAAAGTTCCCAGGTGATGCCAAGTCTATTGGTCCATGGATGACACTTCAAGTGTGAAGGCCTGCTCTAACGAAGAGAGCTTGTTAGAAATGCAGACTCTCGGTCCTCTCCCGAGACCTAGTAGATCTAAGCCTGAATTTTAGCAAAATCTCAGAAGTACGTGCTTTGAAGAGGACTGGGTTGGAAGGCTGCCTGACTAGCTGGGAAAGAGGATGACTAAATAAACTTCCACTTGTTGTTTTGTCAACAGTTTACTTCAGAAAACTTGTTTTCAGTTGACTCTGTGTGTGTGTGTGTGTGTGTGTGTCTAAGAAAAAGATTAAGGAGCGACTTGGTGTTTTAAATACAATTGCCTTGACAGATGGTGACAATGACCAGGTCATTTGATCTGAATTGATTTTGATAGCACAGCCCCGGGAACCGGGAGGCTCCCAGTGACTACCTTCTCATAAATGTCAGATAGACTGGAGCTGCTGCTACCGCTGCTACAGCCTCATGCAGAAAAGCTTCTTCTGCTAAATAAAATGTGGCACTAGCAACAACACAGCCCACAGTCTCTGTCTTTACCAGTCTCCAGAAAAAAAAAAAAAAAAAAGAATAAGTCACTAGTTTTGCCCCCTGGCTAAAAACTAAACAAATTCTATGTTATGAATAACACCCACTCCAAGGCTGGTTTTTAATGAATGTTTGAAGCCAATTGCTCTTTCAACCAATAAACATTTACTAAAGGCTTTTTATGTGCCAGACACAGGG